GTACCGGAGAAAAACCAAAAAAAAAAAAAGAATACAGAGGGTCAGAGAGCTTTTACTTGTTTTTCAGATTTTAAAGTAAAAAAAGCTGACTTCCTCTTACATATTTATATTTAAACATTAATTCACATATTTAAAATACATGTACCGATTACTATGGACCACAGTCTGGGACCTACCAGTGAACAAAACAAAACTCTGTCCTCACAGAGCTACATTTAATTTATGAAGAATAAATGATATAATTAAATATTTACCAGGAGTTGATGTACACTATGCACAAAAGTAGAACAGGGCAGGGTGGTGCAGTTGGGCGAACAGACAGAGGGACAGACAGACGCCCGGGGCTGGTGCCGTTCTGTGTCACTGAGCTGCGGAGACGGACGGGCTCTGCAACTGTGGCCAAAGCCAAGGGTCCCCCGAGCTGCAGATCTGCTGCCTGTCACCTGCACGAACCCGACTCAGTGCTGGAGCCGATGCAGCAAAGGAAACAGAAAGGACGGCACCACAACGATCACACAGCAAGGCTCTCACTGAGCGCACCGCCAGACCCAGTGACGGAGAAAACGCCAGGCCGAAAGGAGATTCGATAAAACCGAGTGATGCCGTGGCGCTAGTGCCAACACTGGTCTCCCCCAGGACCAGCCAGGCTGGCCCTGCTCAGCTCCCCTGACCTCGACACGGGCTGTTCAGGGGCCTGTGGCCGCAGGCTGCCTGGACACTGGAGACAGCACCTACCACTCCCAGCTCACAACAGAGTTCCTCGAGAGGCGTCTTCCTGGAATGTTAGTTGTTTTACAAAAAAGCATTAAATGCTCTATGGTCAGTGAGACACTTGACTTGATGTATTTGTACTGGCAAAGAAACAGTACAGGCCCCACAGACACGGGGCACCGACGGTGTGGGCCGGGAATGGGTCACTCCACCCCAGGCGGAGTCTCAGCTCCACCACAAGAGGCTGGCGAAAGGGTAAACTGAGTCAAACCCAGCCTGCCAGCACCCTGCCTGTTTTCGGCTTTATGAAAACAGAATATTACTGCAACTATAAAAGCAGTATGTTATTAAAAAGTTTACAGGTTCAAGTTAGAAATATAACTTCAGACAACCATGGTTATGCATCATTCACTGACAATGTTTATGGTATAATCTAAACCCTTAAGCAGAAGAGTTAGGTCAAGCAAAGCGAAGGTATTATTTTTTAATATTTGATATGAAAATAAATGTTTGTGTTAAATCCATATATATTATTGAGAAGTTTGAAATTAAATTTGTAAATGGGAGAGTAGAAGTGTAACATTTTAACAATCTTTCTAATTGAAAGATTACAACCTTACTCAGATTCTGGTTTACGGCATTTTGAAAACAGTTCATTTAGAAGAACTTGACGACTACATTCATCTGCTACCACTGTTAAAAGCCAGGCCACCTCAAGAGGAACTGCCCTAAGAAGCCCCCTTCGCCATGCCCTGAATGCAAAGGTGACCACTGGAGATGGTCTGCCCTCTGAAGCAGAGACCCCAGAGCTCAGACCCATCCCACCAGTTAGTCTAACAGGAATGAGGGGCCCCGGGGGATACTCTGCCTTCTCCCTCTGGCCAGACTGTCATCTCCATGGAGGAGCTCTGGGTAATCATGACTATAGAGGAAAAAGAAAACAGCCTGTTGCAAACACAGGTGCAGGTCTCTCGGTCCTTCTTTTCAATCCTGGCCTTCCTTCCAGCGTCACACCTCAGTGAAAGGAGTCACTGGTGAGGAGGTAATATGCTATTTTTCACAACCCTTAGGCTGTAACTACTTGTTAGATCTTTCTTGTGTACCTCTGTCTTCCTGAGAAACCACTTTGAAGACACCACCAAGTATTACAGCAGCCATTGATATTTTCCTACTAATCTGTCCATAACTCTGTAAAGTTTGTACTGTTCCTACCCTATTTCATAAATGGATGTATGTTCATTACTATATGTTTCCTACAACAACCATTGAGAATATTCAATGATTATTCAATTGGTCACTCATTATAGCTCTATTTATTTTCTTTAGAAACCACTTTGAAGATACCAAAGTATAGTACAACAATCATTGATAATAGCCTACACTTTTGTCTGTACCTCACTATTATTTGTCTATTTTCCTGAGAAACTATCTTATAAATAACAATATGTAAAACAACAACCACTGATAATTTCCTACCACTTTGTCTGTAATTCGGTAAGCCCCTATTACTATGTTATCCTTCCTTTACTCTTAAAATAAAAAAAAAAAATTAAAAGGAAGAAAACAGTTCATTTGATAAAAGACTGCAAATACTTTTATGGTGTCTGCTTCCTATGGCTCATGAGGGGAAAATTTCCCATTACGGTGAAGAGCAAGAACTGGAAAGTCTCATTCAGCAACTGCATCCAGACATTTCAAGCATTAAATCATGAACTCTCAATACTTCACTTATTCTGTGATGCCTTGGTTTATTTTCACTATCATATGCAAATATATAAATGCATGCATGTATGTGTACACACAAACATCTGAGACACTCCTAAGGGCTTTTCTCCACCTGCACCAGCTCCGTCTAGACACCCTCAACTCACCCGTGACAGCCCTGGGACTCCTTGTCCACACGGAGCCTGTCACGAAAGGCGTTGGGAGGGTTCAGAGTGGCTGGGGGAGCAGGTGGTTTCTCCCAGCTGCAGATCTAAGCCCAGTGCAACGAGTAAGAAAGTAAAATAAAAAGAAACATTAATAAATAATTCAGAAATGTACTTTCTGCTAACATACTTGCTGAGCTCTCGTAAGACTAACACATTTTATCAAAGTATACTTACAGTACCTTGATAAAACTCAAGATTTTCCAAATGCATAAAAAATGAGGAGTTCTGGTTCTCTATAGCACATGACTACAATTTCTACTCAATAAAGAGTTTTCTTATCCTGTGATTTAACTATCAAGAGATTCCACCAAAATAACAAAAAATCCATTCAATAATTTTCTTACATCCACAATTTAACTAATATAACTTTGTAAATAAATTTATAGTTATTAAATATTATCTAATGTTGAACTTCTATTTTATTACCATGCTGCTGTTTCACAAAAATGTTTCATGCATCATGTCTTTTAGTCAGTTCCTAGTAGATAAAATACCAGATATCCAAGAAAATGTTAAATTGGTATTCTCAAAAAGATTCTGTCAAAAGCCATTCTGGTAGAAAAATGAATACAAATGACTAGAGACACCGCTACAAATAAAGTAACACCCAGCGAATTTCAACACGATGTCTCTTACAGCGCTCAGCCCGCTCTATGCCCGGGCCGGAGAGGCTCACCGAGACATGCAGCCGTGGCAGCCAGAGGAAGGCGGACGCCAGCAGCCTGGAGAAGCGCTGGAGAAACCGCAGCGTCTTCTCTCTGTCCCCCGACATCAGCAGGAACAGGGACGACGCGAACCAGTCGTGGCCAGCGTAAGCCCCTTGCAGGCAGACTGGGAGCCGTCAAGGAACTCTGCAGAGGAAACACAAGGGCCAGGAACCCACAGGCCAGGACCCCCCCCCACCAGATGGAAACCAGTGATGCTCAGGATTTGCTGTGTCTTCAATCAGCTAGAAGCTGCTGCAGTAAACCTGTTTATTCAAGAAAAATAAAGCACTTGCACAGTTACACTTTATCGTTCTGCCTGCTCCGCGTCCAGGAGAGGCCAAGGCCAACAGCAACGGGAAGAGAAGCCACCGCTGTGTGTGTGAACGCGCCTGGCCGCGTCTGCAGACTTCGGCGCCGCCCTTCTGCGCCGTGACGCTCAGCTCCTCCCCTCGCCAGAACGATGCCCTACTTCGACTCAGCAGTGTGCGGGGTTGGACACACAGGTTCTCTTCAGGTGCAACTCCACCTCAGAGCAATCACCAATTCCCATGAGGTGACACGTGGACGGGCGGGGAAAAGCAGCAGCATTACTCTTATTCTGGCTCACAAAATGAATTTTCAGCCGGGCGTGGTGGCACACGCCTGTCATCCCAGCACTGGGGAGGCTGAGGCAGGAGGACTGTTGTGAGTTAGAGGCCAGCCTAGGCTACAAAGTGAGCTTAACGCTAGCCTGAACTGCATAGGAAGACCCTGTCTCAAAAAGCAAAAAAAAAAAAAAAAAAGAATTTTCAAAATGTCCTTAGACATGTCTGAAAATGCACTGTAACTACTTTAATTATTCAGTTTAAGATTCAATGAGTATGACTGAATCTAATGATTATGACTCAATTTAACAAAATTCATGTTTAAGTTACAGAATAAAATACCATCTGGATAGATTATAACAAATCACTAGTATAGCTTAAAGTTTTATTTTACTATGGTAAGGTGTCCTGTCAAAGAAATATGAAAAATATAAGTTCAGCTACTGTGAATCTATTCACAAAGGATATGAAGAGAAGATTTCACAGGAGCTTGCTGCTGCTTCAGGAATCTCTCACAGTGTTTCAAAACCAAGGCAAGATCATTCTCTGCACCGTCTTTTAACAAGTTGAGGAACTTGCCATACCTGCATTAAAAGCCCATGAAAAGCATAAAATGAAAACTATCAAGCTCTGAATTGCACAATCATTTTTTAAAAATCCATCAAAGTATATTTCTGTGGAGATGTCAAGGTTTCAGTTTTCAAACTCCTACTTTTAGTATAACTATGTTAAACAGAGCACTTAGGAAAAATAAGCCCTCAACACATGTCCCCAATGACTATGACATACTTGGATTAGCAGCATGTACCTAGTTAATGTGAATAACCTCACTGGAAGACAAGAACTAATGAGAAAATAAAACCTTCTAAATACATACTGAAAGTAATTTGTGCTAATCAAAGAAAAACAGTACGTTTCTAACAGTGCGATGGTGCACGGCTGTAATTCCAGCACTCTGGAAGCCTGAGGCAGGAGGATCGCAAGGTTGAGCAGCCTGGGCATTTAACAACTGATCAAGACCTTATTTCGAAACAAAAAAATAAAAAGGGCTGGAGCTGTAGCTCAGTGCAAAGGCTCTGGGTTCAGTCCCCAGTACCGAGACACGAAGTCTGTCTGTTCTGCTTGACATCTCACTGAGGTGTGGTCCCCATTTTGTGAAGTCCATGCCACGGCGACACTGCTCAGGGTGCTCAGGTGGCAGAGCTGAGCCAGTCCGGGTGAGCTGCGGCGCCCTCTCTGTGATTGTACAGGAAACGCCAGCTCAGAATCCCGGTGCACTGCCCCAAACTCTGCATCAGAATCGCTTCCACCTCTTCCCACAAAGGTACTACTTTGCGTTAGAAACATGTGACTGTCCTGCCTCTATCAGTGTGCATTCTGAAACGGAAACGCAGCACTGCAGTGTACTTGGGTGGAGCTGCGGGAGAGGATGAAGACAGTTACACGCGCTATGGGGTGGAGGCGGGTGAGCTAGAATTAATGGTGCCATTTCATCGTGTGTGAATTCACACTCAGCCTCCGCACAGCACTCACAGGTGCCCCTACGTCTGATTCTTAAGGTGACCCTACAGGCACAACGGCATGCCAAGACCCGCTCCAACAAGCAAGAAGAAGAGGCTTCCGGGACTTACTCCTCAACTCCTGGCCCACGATCTAGCACGCCCGCTTCTTTCGAAAACTGCAATTTGAGCAATGAAAATTCAAGCGACAACAATCTTGGCACCTTCACTTTAAGTTCCGAATCTGTCCCTGCAGTGCTTTTGTGCTCATCGCCCCTGTGTGGCAATTAGGACCAGCCATCCTGGCGAAAAGGGTAGGACTGCACTACCAGCGCGCTGAGGTGCACAGTGCTGCCTGGGGAGATGGGACAGGCACAGACCTCGCCAGGCCACGGCGGCCTCTGGACAATACTGAGTGAAACGCACTCACAGGGAGGGGTAACACGACCGTGTGCCAGCATCCTCAGAGATGAAGCTACTACTCTCTGAATGATAAACCCTGCATTCAAAGTTTACAGAACAGTTGGCTGCTAAACATCATTAAGCTCATTACAGGCAGAATCCTCGGTAGGCCTGAGGGACAGACAGAGTCCTGCACGCACCTGACAGCCATCCTCACACCAAGCTGCTGCACAGACGAAAGGCTTTCATTCTTCACGTCTGCATCAGTAGCTGAAAATAACAGATAACAGATTCACAAAATGTGTAAAAGGCTGCATGACAATCACATTTTAATTGAAACTGAAAATATTTTTACGTATTTAATGTGAATTTGTAAACACTGATGAATTTGTTTTTCTAAGAGCTCAGGTGGTGATAGGGGTCATGGTGGTGGTGGTGATAGGGGTCATGGTGGTGGTGGTGGCGGTGGTAGTGCTGGTGGTGGTAGTGACGGTGCTTACATTTTTCAGTTACATTTTCAAAGGAATTGACAGGAAAATTTTAATTAAAACTTTTATTGTATAACCTATTATTCAAAAAAAGAGAAATGAACTATTTTAAAAACAGTGTGATACATATATATGTGTAAATACACTGATTTTACTCTTCTTCCTTTTAAATTGCTTTACCTTATTTTTTAAAACTTTTTACAAGTAAATTTTATCCTATAACAATGACTTAAAGCACATATAAAACACCTAGAGTATTCAACTACCTACGCTACTGTGCTGTAGACATAACATAAACGAAAACCAAAAAGCCATTCACCTAAAAAGTGATACAGAAATACTGCACTTTCACATATAACACATATGTAAGATTTTCAGTTACAAATAGATGCTAGCTTTTGTAGAGCACCACAGTGGCTAACTAGAACCTCTAGCAACAAGGTTAGGGACCATGGTGGTGATGGCGGTGATGGTGATGGTGGTGGTGATGGTGGTGGTGGTGTGGGGTGATGGTGGTGGTGGTGGTGGTGGTGATGATGGTGGTGATGATAGTGGTGGTGATGATGGTGGTGATGGTGGTGGTGGTGATGGCAGTGGTGGTGATGATGGTGGTGATGGTGGTGGTGGTGATGGTGGTGGTGATGATAGTGGTAGCGATGATGGTGGTGGTGGTGATGGTGGTGATGACTGGTGGTGATGATGGTGGTGGTGATGACTGGTGGTGATGATGGTGGTGGTGATGGTGATGATGATGGTGGTGGTGATGACTGGTGGTGATGATGGTGGTGGTGATGGTGATGATGATGGTGGTGGTGATGACAGTGGTGATGATAGTGGTGGTGATGACAGTGGTGGTGGTGATGGTGATGGCAGTGGTGGTGATGATAGTGGTAGCGATGATGGTGGTGGTGGTGATGGTGGTGATGGTGATGATGATGGTGGTGGTGATGACAGTGGTGATGATAGTGGTGGTGGTGATGGTGGTGATGGTGATGATGATGGTGGTAGTGATGACAGTGGTGATGATAGTGGTGGTGATGACAGTGGTGGTGGTGATGGTGGTGGCAGTGGTGAAGGTAGCAAGTAGAACAGCACCATCCCTCATGTCCTATTCCTAGCAGGTGAGAGAATGACATGGGATTTAAACAGTCTTAAGCCGAGGCAGGTCAATGAATGGGAAGTCAGCCCTCCCCGACTCTGCTCCCAGCAGTATCAGAGGAGACAGATGCAGTAGAGTGCAATAGAGCAGGCTGTACAAGGGCCAGGAGGGATTGATTGTACACCAGACTGGGAGCAGCCAATGGCTCTCTCTGTCTGAGGTTGCCACAGCAGCTGGAAAGCAATGCAGAAACACTCAGGGTAAGGAGATGTGGGCGGGCCACCAAGGGACATACACAAAAGTTGCTGGCTGAGGACTCTGGCCCCAGTCCACACATGCAGAGGCCAAGATCAGGCCTGTATGCAGCACTAATGCTACTGCAGACTTGGCAGGGTTACCCAGCACAGATTTGGGCTCTGACCTGGACACTACCACAGAACTGCGGGCACTAGAGGAATTTTATGCTTTTTGGTTTATTTGTTTGTTTGCTTGTTTTGTTTTCCTTTTTCTGTCTTTTTTGGGTGTTCTTTAGGATTTTACTTTTATTATTTTGTTTTGTCTTTTTTCTCTCTTTCCTTACCTGTCTCTTGATTTTTTTTAAGTTTTCAGTGAGTGAACACTGTCTCCAGATTTGCTGGTTTGCTTCAACATTCTTTTGCTTTCTCACTTATTGTTTCTCTCCTGTCCTCTTCTTCAGTTTGCCAAAGCTTGGGTGATTATCCTTTGTCCTTTGTCTTGCTTGTACTATGTATCTCTTTAATTATCCCTCCATTTTCCCCCATCACTCTTAAATCCCCCACACAAAGTAAAATCACTCTACTAAGGAACCACACAAAGTAAAATCACTCTACTAAGGAAAACTCATAGCATACAAGCCCCTGATTTTATGTTGGATTTCATTATATAACTGTAGATCTTGCTCCCATCGTTAAAGGTACCAAATTAATAGTTACCACAGTTTGTTAGTTTCTAGGTGTGTTTTATGATATTGTTATTGCTAATTGTACTACTTTAGCCAGGGTGTAATGCCTGTTGTAATCAGTTGTTCTCCCTTGTATGGAAACACTGATTGTCTAGGGTCACAATCATGACCATAGTCCAAAGGACTGGGTGCTGAGTGAAACAGCAACTTCCCATCCCTAATAAATTAGGAAAGTGGATTTTGCAACAGACACAAAAGCCAAGAGCCAGCTACACCTAGAAAACATCTCTGAGGGACAGACATTTCCTAGGGAAGCCTTGATGCTAGTGATAAACTTACCTATCATAAGCATTCCACAAGCATCAACACTGAAAACAAATTAATTTTTTTTTAAAAAAAAAATAGAAAATGACAAGACACAGAAACCAAATGCAACTCCAAAGCTCTACAAGTCCAGGGACAATGAGATAGAGGAAATTTTGAGTCATGCACCTCAATTTTCTGAAAGCATCATAATTTTTAAAAAAGACAAGTGAATGAAGCTGTAGAGAAAATCAAATCAGAAAAAATCTCTCAGGTAGAAAAAAAAGAGATCAAAATGAAGGACTTACTCAGTGAATCTAGAGTAGACATACATTTAAAAAAAAACAGAGGAGCTTCAGAATATAATGAAAACCATGAATGCCCAATATAGGAAAGAAACAGAATCCATGAAACAGATTCAAATATCTACCAAAGATATTAAAAATTCCACTGAAAGAAATGCAGCTGAATGAATCAAGGTGAAAGCAGAATATCAGTTCTAGAAGGCAGGATTGTGGTTAGCAATCATGAAAAGAAAGATTTCTTAAAAACTGGAAGGGATCATGAAAATCCAAAAAATGCAGATGAGGCAAAGAAGATTAATGTAAAATTTCTTGGAGTCAATGAAAAAGTAAGAGGAAGCACAAATGACATAAAAAACCTGCTCACACAAGTAAAGGCAGAAAACATCCTAAGCATGGAAAAAGAATTTGATATACACATAAACGAGGAATATAAAACTCCAACTGTCATGACCAAAATAAATCTACATAAAGGGATATAATAATCAAGATTTCAGAAATTCAGCACAAGGAAAGAATACTAAAAGCAGTTAGAATAAAGAAACAAATCACTTATGAAGGAAAGCCCACGAGAATCAGCAGATTTCTCAAGACAAACACTTAAGTCAAGAACAGATTACAGTGAATTATTTCAAGTCCTAAAAAAACCTCCATCCCAGATTGATGTACCTTGCAAAACTATCTTCCAAAATCAGTGGAGAAATAAGATACTTCCATGACAAAGAAGAACTGAAGAAATTCATGACAAAAAAACCCAGCTCTCTAAAATGTTCTAAAGGATATTTTAGAAAGAGATAACAGAGACCACAATACCAAGAACACAAGGAACCAAACACAGGAAAATAGTACGGCAAGGATAAGCCAATAGGGGGTTGGGGATTTAACTCAGCGGCACAGTGCCTGCCTGGCAAGTGCAAGGTCATGAGTTCGATTCCTGGTACTGGAGAAAAAAAAAAAAAAAGAGATAAGTCAATACATATCAGTTATAATCATTATGTAAATGGTCTCAGCTCACCAATAAAAAGAAAGAGAATGGCAGAATTAATCAAGAGACAAGATTCAACAATCTGCTGCATGCAAGAAACACATTTAACTCAAAAAAGAAATTCATAGTCTGAAAGTCAAAGGATGGAAAACAATACTCCATGGGACAGGAACCCAGAAAAAAGCAAGGATAGCTTTTCTACTTACAAACAATGTGAACTTTAAGCCAAGACTGATCAAAAGAGACAAAGAAGGTCACTACATCCTTGTAAAAGCAACAATCCAAAAGGAAGCAATAACAATCATAAATATATAGGCAAATACCAAATACCACTGTACCCAACTATATGCAAGAAATACTGTCACGAAAAATCAAATAAGCACTAAGACAACTGTAATGGGGGACCTCAGTACCCCACTGTCACAAATAGACAGATCAACTAGACAAAAAAATCAACAAAGAAATATCAGAACTGAACCAAACTTGTGAACAAATGGACTTAGTAGATGTCTACTTGGTGTTCCATCCCACAACATCAGAATACACATTCTTCTTTTTTTGCATGGGATGTTCCTCAAAATGGACCACATTCTTCTAGCCCACAGAATATGTTTATATGAAAATAAACTAAAAATTATCATATGCATATTATCAGTCCATAGTACAATGAAATTGGAAATCAATGGCAAAACAAACCATAAAAATTCCATGAACACATGGAAGTTAAATACCACCCTCCTGAACAACCAATGGGTCACACACCAAGTTAAAGAAGAAATTAGACAGTTTCTACAATGAAAAGATAATGCCAATACAACAAGCCAGAACTTATGGAATGCAATGAAAGCAGTCCTATGAAGGAAACTTATAGTGATGAATTCCATATTAGAAAAACAGATCAAGCTCAAATAAACAAACTAATGCTGAATCTAAAATTTCTAGAAAAAAGAAAAACAAGTCAAACTCAAAACTCTTATGAGGGAGGAAATTATAAAAATCACAGTAGATACTTATGCAATGGAGATTAAGAAAGTAATATAAAGAATCAATGAACTGAAGTTGATTCTTGAACAATTAAATAAAATTGATATACCCTTAGCCAGTCTTATCAAAAACATGAAAAAAAAAAAAGATTTAAATCCATGGAATTAGGAATGAAAAGGGCAAAAGC